AGGCTTATTTTGAGGCTTATCACACAATTTGCTATCACCAACCTGTGAAAAAAAGTACCCTTGATAAGAATGAACAAGTGAACGTGGATCAAACTATAGTGGACAAAAGCAATTATTGTTTGCAATTAATAATTACACAACCATTATTCAATGGTTGCTACTATGCCATGCTACACAGTTTTTGGTTTGTCTTTAGACTATCAACAAACAATAATGGTTGCGATTAGTGAAAGATAACTCTCAATCTCAAAACTTAAATCATATGGAGTACGTAGTAAAAGGACATAGTTTTTTGTCTACTTGGATGGAGAAAAAAAAGTGTCGTACGCAGCACATGGCTAGAAAGGTACAACTACTGTAAGACATTCCACATATGCCTAATCCCATACAAGATACTTACTATCTATGATGACTAACTCATAATCAATATCTGATGTTTACTTGCAAAATACAGCATGAAATTATTGTAATTGTTAACATAAGTATAAGATAAGAAGTAAATTATAACTGGTGCGAGAGCGTGTCTTTTAGAATTACGTATCCTAAAATGGTGTGTCTTGATTGGCTGATACTGGACACATGTTCCATGGTTGTGCACTTGTGCCGTCATGGCACGTATTTTTTGGGATTGGCCTTTTCACGTTTGAACATAGCCCTTTCCACTCAAATGTTTGTATGTTAGCACATCATTCGATCATTTGCACACGTAGTGTTTGTCTATTGGTTCCCGAGACAGTATGTGATTGGTTCTCCTAAAAGGCGTATTTTTACCGTAAACAAGTACTCCGTAAGGCCCTTAACATGTTGTTAATGATTTTGATCAAATATATCGATATATTTGTAAATTTTTTATATTAATTAATTATTTCTATTTTTTTCTTTCATTATACTTCAAAACCTATGACTTTAGTATTTTAACTAGATTAGTCTCGTGCGATGCACGATTTGATTTGATCAAATAATATTTTCTAAACTTATTTATATTTTCATACCAAAATTAAAAAGAAAAATATTTCCAAAACAAATAAAACATCAAATATTAAAAAAAAAATAAGTTATAGAAAAATTGAATGATGAAAGAGTATTCAAAGAAGACAAATTAAATTATTATTGTTAAAGAGAATAGACCAGTTTTCAGAATTTGATACTAATAATAATGTAATTGACCAGAATTTTGATAAAAAAAAAATAAAAAAAAAATCACAAAACAATGACATCATCAATAGTTTTGGAGGAAAATTTTTTAATGACAACAAGACATGTATCTAATTTTAAAATAGAATAATGTCAGCGGTTGCTACTTTATTATTAGTTATACCTTCGAGGTTACATTAAATTTATGATGTTGCGTAAAAAGTATTACAATATAATTTAGTATTATTTTAATTTAAATTTTTTTGATAAGATATTTTAATTTGAATATTATCAAACACTTGTTAAGGTTTTGAGTTTACATACATGTTACTCCATCTACAATATTCTCATTAGGAATCATCAAATTTTCACTTAAGACTCCCCCTACTGCACTACGCAAGTTGTGAATTATTTGACCCACCATTTTATTTTCTTTTTTAAATTAAATACCCACCACTTGTTTATATAAATATTAAGATAAAGTACGCCCTAGGATCAAACTAGCCAAGAACCGAAATGGGTAATTACTCAGTGTGTGTATTTACTCTAAACTACGAGTATTAATTTCTTCAACTCATCATGATGTCTTATTATTACTATTATTTTTGCTAGTTAATACCTCAAATTCGTTTCCATTTCTAAACTACACGAGATCAGATTGTGTTAGGAATATTAGGAAAAATTATCATATCATTGTCATTATTATCGTATATTTAGTTTCCTAGTATATAGGTTGTGTTATCCCAAGATAATATCTTGAATATCTTTTGATATGTTTTAGGGAACTATGTACTCTATATATATAATGATTGAATGAATGAATGAGGGTAAGCGGGAGAAACCCTACTTTGACATGGTATCAGGAGCCAGGAACTTCTAAAATAAGGAAAAAAAAAACCCAAAACTCCTAAATCACCACCATGCCCGGTGATGATGTTCCACCGCCACCACCACCACGCATTGGCATTACATCTCCTTATTACCTAGGTCCTCATGATAGACCTTGGGATTTCATAACTCCAACCCGATTTCGTGGAGAAAATTACGATGAATGGGCCGGTGACATTCAAACCGCGTTGGAGGCACGCCGTAAGTTTGTCTTTCTTGACGGGACAATCACCACTCTATCGTCTCAGTGTACTCAAACGGATTGGAATATCATTCATGCTATGTTGATTTCGTGGCTCATGAACACAATTGATCCTAAGGTCAAAAGTACTCTGTCCAAGTACAACGATGTGAAGAGGTTGTGGGATACTCTCAAGGTGCGGTTTGCCACCGTCAATGGACCTCGGATTCAACAGTTGAAGGCCGCAATTGCGAAGTGTGAGCAGTCGAAGGATATGTCAGTTGCCTCCTATTTTGGTAAATTGACTGCCCTATGGGAGGAATTGAATAATCATGAGCCAATTATTACTTGTTCTTGTTGTGCGAATTGTACAGCCGGCTTGGACCATAAATGTTTCAGACCACTTGCCTCCATGAGTTCTTGATGGGGTTGTATACTGACCACTATGCACAGACTCGCAGCAACATATTATCCCAAGACCCGCTACCATCTCTTGATCGGGCATATCAGTTGGCTTCGCAAGATGAACGAGTCCGACTTGCTAAACAAGTCCCTGAAGTCGTAGGCTTTGCTCTTCGAACAAGCACAAGGAAGTCAAAGTCAGCAGCTACGGATGACAAACCTGATAAATTGGGTCTACAATGTACTTATTGCAAGAAAAACGGACACTTAGTCTCTGGCTGTTTCGAATTGAAGGGGTACCCGGAGTGGTGGTCGAATCCCTCTAAGCGTGGCAAGTCACAACAATCAAGCACCAAAGAGATACCCTAAGCTGTTGATGATTTAGAGTGTTGTATGGTACGCGCCCGCACCCATGTTAAGCGCGCCCGAGCCAGGTAGGCGCGGCCGCAATGAGAGCGCGCCTAAATCGCGCACCTCTCTGGAAATCAGCATGTTGGATGAAAGTGGGGGCGAGGCCGCGCGATCAGAGGCGCGCCCGCGCTGCTCTAGTGGTGCGCCAGCGCTGGAGACCGCGCTTAAACCGCGCCCCTCACTGCCTTCAGGTTTTATTTGCAGACTTTCTGGGAGGAGCGCCCGTTCTAACAAGAGGCGCGCCCGTTCTAACAAGAGGCGCGCCCGCGCGTTCAAGTGGGGCGACTGCGCTTCCGCCTGTTTTAGGCGCACCCGCGCCTCTTTGTTGCGCGCCCGCGCTGCTTCCCAGTTCTGCGGTTTTTTTGCTGACGGTTATTTCTCTTATAAAAGAGAATTTTCGTGAACAACGAAAATAGACAGAACATTTCCTTTTGTTTTCTCTCCCAAAAAATATTCTCCACATTTTCTCTCAATTTTCTTGCAAACTATTGTGAAAAAACTCTTGAAATTTAGCCAATTTTTGTGAATTATTCATTGTTCTTCGATTCTAGTGCTAAGAACGAAGTTTACTGTCAATTGTATCTCAAAGAGGATTTCCGGTTTAACCCAAGCACCGTGTGGGGAAAATAAACCTCTTTAGGAAAGTGTTTACACGCCTTTGACAGTGTATCAAGGTTTGAGACTCAAGTGGTCATCGTTTTTCTCATGTTCATGTTCTTCTTCAGGGCTTGGTGTTGAGGCAAGTTTGTATTCTTTACATTATTGTTTGCATTTGTAATTTTCTGAAATACATTGTATTTTGGTGCTTGGTTGTAATACTTTGAATAGTATTTGGTTTGTTGTATAATTGATTATTATTATACACAATATAGGTTTTGTTCCCACACAATTTTAAGTAATTCTTTGTTGTTTGAATTACTATAAAACCTAACACAAGCTCGGGCCAATGCAACAGCAGCTGGATCCTCTAATGCAAGCAACATGGACTCCTTAGGTGGCTCCTCAGAAACATTTACAGCTGAAAAATGGAAAGCAATCCTCGGTTTTGTTGGTAATACAAAAATTCCTGATGATCTCTTGAATGGTGTGTTTGACAACGATTTGTGGATTGTTAATACAGGTGCATCTAGACATGTCACAAGAAATGACAAATGGTTATTTGATACTTTTATTATCTCTCATTGTCCGGTAGGACTTCCGAATGGCAAAACTGTAAACGCCACAAAGGAAGGCTCGGTTCGATTGTCATCAACAATTGTTCTTAAACATGTGTTATTTGTTCTTGATTTATGTTGCAATTTAATTTTGGTATCACAATTGATCGATGATACAAATTATACTGTCCAATTTAACTCTAATATGTGTGCTATACAGGACCAGTCAAGGGAGCTGATTGGAATGAGTGTTAGCTTAGGCGAGATGGACTGATTTATTTCAAAGGACAAGCTTCGGTGCAACATGTGGCTGTTTCTGAATCTTCGGCATTGTTAGAGCTATGGCACAAGCATATGGGTCATCTTTTGGAAAAAGTTGTGAAACTTCTCCCTCCCGTTCATAATTGTAAGGGTAGTTTAAATAAAGCATGTGAAGTTTGTTTTCGTGCTACACACCTTAGATCTAGTTTTCCTTTAAGTGAGAATAAAGCTTCTAGAATTTTTGAAAAAATTCATTGTGATTTATGGGGTTCTTATAGACATGCATCGTCTTGTGGTGCTCGATATTTTTTAACTATAGTTGATGATTTATCTCGTGTTGTTTAGATTTATTTGCTTGTTGATAAAAACAGAGGTTTTCCGTCTGTTTATGTCTTTTGTGGCAATGGTGGATAGACAATTTTCTCAAATAATTAAAATAGTTCAAAGTGACAAAGACACCGAATTTAATTGTTTGCATGATTTCTTTAATGCAACTGGCATTTTATTTCAAACATCATGTGTTGGAACACCGCAACAAAATGGTCGGGTTGAGAGGAAACACAAGCATATTTTAAATGTAGGTAGAGCTTTGAGATTTCAAGCTAATTTGCCTATATATTTTTGGGGTGAAAGTGTCCTTGCTGCCGCACATTTAATAAACCGAAATCCTTCCCCTCTCTTGCACAATAAATCTCCCTATGAAATTTTATTTACACAAACTCATCTTACACTACCATCCGTACTTTTGGGTGCCTTTATTTTGCTCACAATCAAAAGGCTAAGGGTGATAAATTTGCAAGTCGTAGTCGTAAATGTGTTTTTGTTGGCTATCCGTTTTGGAAGAAAGGTTGGAGACTCTTTGATCTTGAATCAAAAGACTTTTTGTGTCTTGTAATGTAAAATTCTTTGAAGACGTTTTTCCTTTTCTTGATCCAATTTCATCAAACATTATTCCGAAAAATATTGTTCTAATATGTATGGAAGTGCCATATGATTTTGATGATGTGAATGTGGGGTTTCAAGAGAATGATGTTGGCCAAGGTCATGTGCCTCACACAGCTCAACAGCACCAAGCCGAGGCTGCTCCAGCCACTCCGGTGGTGCCATCGCACGCTAGAAGGCCGCTGGCCGAGAGCACCTCACCTACTGCTCAACCAGCTGGAAATCCAACGTGCGCTGGCCTGGGCGAGAGCAGTGGCACTGCTGGCAGTGGCCACGGACAAGGGGGGCAACAACACTCTTCCACATTATCAACAACAGCAACACCGAGTCAGCCCCACACCGATGCAGGCCCTGATCAGTCTTCCACGCAACATATGGGTAAAGGCATGCGTGAGAAATTTCTGAGTGTGCTTTTGCGAGACTATGTGACACACACTATCATAGCAAACAGTCCATCATCTCCATCTTCTAACACTCCGTCTCCAAGGCATCCCTCAGGTACTCTTTATCCTATAGCGCATTATATTAATTGTGACAGTTTTTCTCCACATTACCGAAATTTTATTGCAGATGTTAGTTCCGGCAAAGAGCCAAGGTCTTTCAAGGAGGCCATGAAAGATGCAGGTTGGAGACGTTCAATGCAAACTGAAATTCAAGCTGTAGAAAAGAACAAAACATGGACTATGGAGGATCTTCTCCCCAGCAGACAACCTCTTGGAAGTCAATGGGTGTATAAAATAAATTACAATTCCGATGGTAGTATCGAATGAATAAAATCCAGATTAGTTGTTTTTGGAAATCATCAAAAACGGGGCATTGACTACTCCGAAACTTTTGCACCTGTTGCTAAGATGGTCATTGTTCGAGCTTTTCTTGCTATTGCAGCGATGACCGTCAGATCGGGTATGAGAGTAAAGTTGATTTTCGTCGGAAGCTCGCCCTGTCGGGCACGCCACTAGGCAGAGCCCGCCCTGCCGGGCGCAGGAACATGTTAGATTACCAACGACTCTTTTACTTCCTCTTCCTTTGTAACTCCCCCTTAACACCCATAATTAATGGGATGTTTTAAGGGGTTGTTTACTCACTTTTATTTATGATTAAAATCTTTGTCCCTTTGGATTCTTCAACTCTTGATTATCCGCTTTTATTATATATTTCATGGTTGAGAAAATCATAATACAAGGTTACATCCAAATAAGCTAAACACATTGCTTTTTTGGGCATAAGTTTATATGACTCCAACCTCTCATCCAAGAGTGCCTTTGTATGTGAGTGGTGTGTTAACCTTAGGGAACGTGTCAGCGAATACATTGAGCACCACGGTTGCGTTGGAATTTTGTTTTCAAGTCAGTGAATTTGTTTCACTACACACCGTACTCTTTCCTTTGTCATAAGATCATCAACTTTTCGATCTTTGTTTACTTCTTATTGTAGCCTTGAAATATACTTCTTATATTACAACACACATGTCTAGTACACATTTCACGACCAATCAAGACACATCTTTCTAGGGTAACCCTAAAAGGCACGTACTCCCACCCCTATAAATATACCAATCATTGATGATGGTAGGGGTGATTGAGACATAAGTAATTAAGGCACTTTATTGCTATTTGTTTCATCTTCTGTTTTAAAATACTCTGTAATTTGGATACTAATTTGATCGTCGAAAACGAATATTCCAACAACAGAGTATTTGTTGCTTTGTAGGTGTTAAAGACTAGGCAAGTAGCATTGATGATCTGTTTCCCAAAGGACATTCCAAAAATCCCCAAAACATTACTAATAATCTAATGTCAATAATTATGAATGACATGTAAAATGACATGTTTTGGTCAAAATTTATCAATTTAAATGAAATGTTTTAATATAAAAAATCATCAAGATCACAAGAGATGTACATTGCGATTAATTGTGAGTATATATAAGGCCAATGAGTGAGTAGCACATAACCTTAAAGCTAGTGATCTCAAGATATAAACTGTGGTTATTAATCCTGCCCATATATAAGAAGAAAAACGGTATTGCTATATCTTTAAAAAATTTAGTTGATATAGCTCTATAACATTTAAAGCTACAAATTAAACTGTTTCTTACTAATTAAAAATAATTATTATTGAACTAAAATAGTCTTGTATGGGATTAGGCATATGTGGAATGTATTACAGTAGTTGTACCATTCTAGCCATGTGCTGCATTTTCGACACTTTTTTCTCCAACAAGTAGACAACATACTATGTCCTTTTACTACGTATGAATTATGTTTTGAAAGTTATCTTTCACTACCATTATTTTGTTTGTTGCTTCGTCTTGTTGAATTGTCTTCAACGATTGTGACTCTAATGACACTTATGATAATCTAAAGTCAAACCAAAACCTGTGTAGCACGGCATAGTAGCAACCTTTGAAAATTCATCGTGAAATTATTACTCCCTCAGTTTTTTTAAAATGCATTACTTGGACTTTTGCACTATTCATATGTCATATTTGACTTAATTTTTTTACTATTATAAAATAACTATTCACGTCCACTTGTTCATTCTTATCAAGGGTGCCTTTATCTACAGGCCATTTTTTTTTTCAGGCCAGGTTGGTTATAGCAAATTGTGTGATATACGTAGTAGGCATTATGTATAAGCCTCTTCTCCCCGCTCTTTCATTTAAGGGAGCCTCACTTTATCAACTTAATGACCAAAATTCATTTATCAAGTGGCAAAATATTAAATAAATTAACAAAAATATATCCAGTCAATATATCATATTCATAATTACATCAACAATTATTGGCCCATATCTAATAAAAAATTGTTGATTTAAGGTGATAAACTTTCATTTTCTCCTTTCATTTTACCTATAAGTAGAGTCCTCATCATAACAATAAGCCACAAATGTCCTAGTAGAATATCTTGTTTCTTCTTGTCCCATTTAACAACACATTTATGAAAAAGGCCCCATTTTTAAATCATCTTACATTGAAAGTAATTGGAAAAATTGCCCAAATTAATCCCACCTTTGCCTCATCCGTCCAAAATAATGCCACCTTTAGATTATTTTTCAAAAATCCAACCTTTGATATTAATTAGCTCAAAATGGTCCCAACCGGTCATGTAACTTGATATAACAAGTTACTTGACACGTGTCAGTATGTGATTTGTCAAAAAAATTAAAAAAAATAAAATTAATTTTTTTTTAAGAAAAAATAAATAAAATATGACACGTGTACTTTAAACCCAAAAAAAAAAATATATTTATAACATGTAACCGATCGCTTGGGACCAATAGGAGAAGATTGGGTATAAAGTTCAAATTATTAAAAAATATTTGAAAGGTGAGATTATTGATTATTTTGGGCGGAAGAGGCAAAGGTGGGATTATTCCCGACAATTTTTCCAAAGTAATTTGTTAAACTTTTTCACAACCAATTTAAACATATATCAAAAGGGAGCTAGTTTATAACCATTTAAAAGTTATACTCTCATAATCCAGAAATAATTTTCAACATTAGCATAAATCCAGGCCATGTGAAAATTCTATTCATTCAAAATTACAGAATTAGGGTTACTAATTCAACTTTCCCATCAATTTCTCATTCAATCATACTAAAACACATAAATATAATATTATAACCCTAAAATTGCTCAAAATTAAACAAAACCCAATTAAGCCCAATTTACTTGACTATTAAACCCAATTTACTTGACTATTTAACTTGACTATTAAAGCCTCACCCAATTTACTTGACTGTTAAACCAATTTACTTGACTATTAAAGCCTCACCCAATATACTTGACTATTAAAGCCTCACCCAATTTAACTTGACTATTAAACCCAATTAACTTGACTATTTAACTTGACTATCAATTTTAGGGATCCAATTAAACCCAATTTACTTGACTATTCAACTTGACTATTAATGCTTCACCCAATAGTTTGTGTTATCAATAATATCTTACACTATCAATAAGTACAGGAGGATTGACCCCGAGAGACGTAGGCAATTGTATGTGTCAGAAGATATCGATAACGCTTTGTTTGGATAGCAAATAAGGAAAGAAAGGAAGTGGAGGGAAAGAGGAGGAAGGGAAGGTTAGCTCTATTCCCTCCAAATCTTTCTAATTTTGAAGGGATTATGCTTATTAAAGATAGAGGAAAAATGGATCTCTCCCTCTTCTTTCCCTTCCTTCCCCCAATCTTTTACCCAAAAAAGAGAGTTTGTTCCCCTCCCTTTCTCTTCCTTTATTTTATTCTATTTCCTTCTATCCAAACAAAGTGTAAAGTGGAGAGAGTGATAATGGAGAATTTGGGTTTTATTTTTCTTCAGAAAACTGTAGAGGAAAAAGAACGATAACGGAAGTTGGAGAATTTTAGTCTCTTTGTTTTTCCAAAAAAGCATATTTCAAATGACTTTTTATTTTATTTTTCTTTGATGTTAATGGTATGTCAGTAAAAACCCTATATTGAGCTTATATATCAAAGCCCTTTAGTGGCATGTCCATTAAGAAATTAAAGGGTTAAGACCCTTGGAAATTTGGTATGACCCTATCAATGAGCAGTCCTGTACCATAAAACCTTTACCCATCGTAAACTCACTTCAAACTCAACTCAACACAACCCAAACCCGAAATTAAGCACAACTCAAATTTGACTCAAATCAAGTCCGACTTGCACCTGAAAGGGTAAACCATCTAACATAATCCGAACCAAACTTGACCTGACTAAAACTTGCATAAACTCGACCTAAAGGCCATTGACCAACGTCACTTGACCTAAGTATGACCCAAGACCTGAATTGACTCGAATCGAACGAACTCGATCAACTCAGATACCCGTATTAATTGGTATCTCTAGTAGTTTTACACACTTGTTAGTCTCGTTATAGGCTTAAATCAACCTACCCTAAATTTTTTTTGCATATTTTTAATTGGATAAATAATTAACAGCGGATATTAAACAAAATCAATATTAGTCAAGTAAATAGTATAAGATATTATTGATAACACAAACTATTGAGTGAGGCTTTAATGGTCAAGTTTAGCAGTGTAAGATATTATTGATAACACAAACTATTGCTGAGGCTTCACCCAATGTTTGTGCAACCATAATTCTCACAACCATGACATACTTCACACCCTCATTTTCATTCACCACCAACAACACTCCCTCCCACTCTTACTCCCCTTTCTCTCTCCTCCCTTCTCAACTTCTCTAAATTCCTCCATTTTCTCTCTCCTCTAATCTCCTCCAATCCCTAACAATGGAGGAAGCTCTCGAATCATCCCGATCTCTAAACAACAATTGAGTTATCACCAACACTGCTCACTTTTCTCTCTCCTCACTATTATTCCGGGAGGAATTGGAAGCAATATGACGGAGTACTATCACCGGCAGATTTACAAGTTGTCTTCCAGCTACACTTTCATATTCACGACAATTTGTAAACTTTAGAGGTTATCGTTGGCAGATTTTTCGGTAAGGACTATATTGGAAGCAACTGAGGATGTAAGCCAACTAAATTACTGTAGAATTTGTCAATTGATGTTGTGGGTGGTTCGGTAGTGGTGCTTGGCAAGTATTACTGTATGTGGCGGTTGGGGAGGCGTTACAATGGGTGGTGATAGGGGGGGAAGGGGCTGCGTGGCTGGTGTTGTTTCCATGCGCGAGTAGTAGGGGAGTAGCAGTTGAAGGTGTCGAATTGCTGGCCAAATGTATCTGGGTGATGTGTGGCAGTCTGGTAGTGTTAGGGGCTAAGAGGCGAATACGATTGCTTCGAGGTGTTTGTGGCGGAGGCAGTTGGGTTATAGTTGTTACAGGTTTAGAAGTTGGCCGTTGCTGCTGGTTGCAATTAATCGGTGGAGCATCGACAAATGGTTGTCTAGTGGTGTTTGTGTGGGATATGATTTGGTTGTGCTGTTGTGATTGTTGTGCTGCTGATGTTGGTAGGGGAAATGAGGAAGAGTGTGGTGTAGGATAAGAAATTTGTGGGGTGTAGGTTTAGGTGGTAGCATGGGATCGAAAGTAGGTAGGTATTGTTGCCGTCTTAGAGCAAGGGGGATTTGCCTGATCGAATAATGAAGCCGTGGAGCTCACTTTGAATCAGAACCGGTACATTGACCAGAACACTTCTACGAACAAAAGGAACATATAAATCAACTAACTAATGTCTTTCATTAGCCAACAATAGGAACATATCAGAAATTAATAAAAACA